CGTATTCCGTATACGAAGGCTATTCCTGCCTCTCTTCCTATGTGGTCTGCAGGTAGATCGGGGTAGGCACGATGGGAAAGCAGTTCAATGGCCGTGGCAAAGTCTTGCAGGGATTCTCCAGGTTTCTAGGTCCTTGTTCTTAATTGGCAGCGGTAGGCAGCTGCAAAGTGTTGGTCCCCGAAACGGTCCTCTAGAGCCTGAAGAGTTTCCTCGTAAGTGGCATTTGCCAGAATTCCGGGTAGCATTTCTGCCGCCCTGCCCTTCAGAGGGCTGATCAGGTATGTTAATTTTTCACGGTCCGACCATTGGTTGTGCTCTGCCACAGTCTCGAACTGTCGTCTGAATACACTTCACGTTGAATTCCCGTTGAATGTCGGTGGCTGAGCTGTGCTCGCGACGATCGTTGATGTATTTACCCGCTCGGCCTTCATTTGCACTATGTCCAACCGGGCCTGGAACTCGCGTTTGGTTTCGTCAATTGCAGCGCAGGTTTCGTTGTAGTTTTTCGTCAGTTCTTCCTGAAGATTTCGTTTATCGTGTTCAACGATCGCCAAGATGTTTTCAACTCGATGTTCGATTTTATCATCCAACTCTGACCGCATAGATCGCATTTCGGCCTTAATTTCTTCCTTGTCGGCCTTCCTATCGGCCTCCGCCTTTTCATATTCATATGTTCTTGTATATGTGATGGAGGATGTCAGTATTTTAAGAACATGATTTTCACGAAGGGAACAACAGTCTTTAATATCGCCATAAATATATTTTGAGAAATTACCAGATTATAAGTATCAAGTTTAATTATACAATTAGATAGATATTTGTGAAAAGTCTTATTTGAAACACGTAAACATTAGAGTAATTTTTATATTATTAAAAAATTTCATAAGAAACGAAAACTGAGTTATTTTAGTAGTAGATGCAATAGTTCTCTCCGTACTGCAGATTAACATCCTTTTGGTTTGATCATATATTCTTGAATATGTGACTGAGAATGTCAGTATTTTAAGTACACGAGTTTCATCATGGGAACAGCAGTCTTTAACATCGCCATAAATATATCTTGTGAAATTTCCAAATGTTCGGTTTTAAATTATATGATTAGGTACATATTTGTAAAATGTCTTATATTAAATATGTAAACATTTGTGTTTTTATCCTATAATATCAAATAAAATATGATAGGACCCCAATACTATGAATGATTTTAGATAAAGGTGTAATCGATCTGTTCGTAAGGTTGAATAACATCGTTTTCATTTGCTCATATATGCTTGTATATGTGACTGAGAATGTCAGTATTTTAAGAACTTTAGTTTCATGATGGGGACAACAGCCTTTGACATCGTCATAAATATATCTTATGAAATTATCAAAACGTACGGTATCAAGATAAATTATAAGATTAGATAGATTTTTGTACAATATCTTATCTTAAAATCATAATCATTTGAAATTCTTGCTTATAATATCAAATAAAATATGGGAGCAACCGAAAACAATGAATGATTTGGTTGTAGATGCAATCGTTCTGTTAGTACTGCTGAATAACTTCGTTACTCTTTGCTCATATATTCTTGTATATGTGACTGAGAATGTCAATATTTAAGTACATGAGTTTCACGATTTGGGACGACAGTATTTAACATTGCCAAAAGTATATTTTGTAAAAATACCAAAATGTACGGTATCAAGTTAAATTATAAGATTAACTTGGTATTTGTAATATATCATAACTAAAATACGTAAACATTTAAGATTTTGCTAATAATATCACATAAAGTATGACAGGAACCGAATAACATACATGATTTTAGTTGCAGATGCAATCGTATCTTCGTAAGGCTGAATAACGATGTTTTGGTCTGCTCATATATTTTTGTATAAGTGAGGGAGTATATCGATATTTAAGAACATGAATTTCACGAAATGGACAAGAGACTTTAACACTTCCAAATCTATATATTATGAAATTACCAAAATGAATGTTATCAAGTTAGATTACATGATTAGATAGATATTTGTACAATATCTTATCTTGAACACGTAAACAGTTGAGTTTTTATTTATAATGTCAAATAAAATATGACAGGATCCATATACAATAAATGATTTTATTTGTAGATGCAATCATTCTGATCGTACTGCTGAAAAACCTGGTTTTGCCTAGCTCATATATTCTTGTATACGTGACTGACAATGACAGTATTTTAACAACTTGAGTTTCACAATTTGGGCAATAGTCTTTAATATCGCAGTATATATACATATATATCTTGTGAAGTTAACAAAATATACTTTATCAAGTTAAATTACATGATTAGATAAATTTTTTGTTCAATATATATTATTAAACACTTAAACAATTTAATTTTTTTATAACTTGAAATAAAATATGATAGGAACCGAATACAATAAATGATTTTAATTGTAGATGCAATAGTTCTGTTGGTACTGAGAATAACTTCAGTTTCATTTGCTCATGTATTCTTGTATATGGGACTGAGAATGTCAGTATTTTAGAATATGTGTTTCACGATGGGGACAGCACTCTTTAACATCGCCATAAATATATATTGTGAAATTAACAAAATATATGTCATCAAGTTAAAAAATAAGATATATAAATATTTGTACACTATCTTATCTCAAACACGTAAACATTTGAGGTTTTTGTAAGTTTTGAGGTTTTCACGGCGATGACAATGAAGAAAGTTGTCTTCTGGGTTTAGGCACCGNCACATCATATGGCCTTTATCGCTCTCAACAATCTCGACAGACGTGAAACATCCTTTCCCTCAAGAGAATCCTACAAGCCACACCAGTTCTTCGTCATGTCATTGACGTCAATAGCCTGTCCTCAACCTACCGGTTTTGACTACCGCACTTCCTAGTGCTATTGACCTCAAGTTTCCTGTACTCACTGGCCGTTCCCCCTCGCCCTTAGTCACACACCATATATGGCCTTAATCGCTCTCCACTGCTCCCATTGGTCCGTTCTCCCTAACCACCCCCCCTGCCTACTTCGTATATAAGCAGCACCTTCCACATCCTATCACCACAGCTACTGCTCTCCGCAGCTATTGAACTGCTCTGAAGATGGAGGCGCTACGTTCCTCCGAAACGTCGGCCAAAACGAAGAATACACGGTGCCTAAACCCAGAAGACAACTTTCTTTATTTGAGGTTTTTGGTTATGATATGAAATAAAATATGACAGGAGCCGGATACACTGAATGAATTTAGTTGTAGTTGCAACAGTTCTGTTCGTACTCCTGAATAATAACTTTTTTGTTGCCTCATATATTCTTTTAAATGTGACTGTGGATGTCAGAATTTTAAGAACATGAGTTTCACAAGGGGGAGAACAGCCTTTAATATCGCAATTAATATATTTTGTGAAATTACGAAAAAGTACTTTATTAAGTTAAATTATATGATTAGACAGATATTTGTACAAAATTTTATCTTAAATAAATAAACAAGTTTTTTGCTTCAAATATCAAAGAAATATCAAATAAAATATGTCAGGAAAAGAATACAATGAATGATTATATTTGTAGTTGCACTTGTTCTGTTCGTACTGCTGAACAACTTCGTTTTGGTTTTTTCATATATTCTTTTATATATGACTGATATCTTAAGAACATGTGTTTCACAATGGGGAAAACAGTCTTTAATATCGTCATAAATATATCTTATGAAATTATCAAATGTACGGTAAGAAGTTTAATTATACGTTTAGATAAATAATTGTAAAATGTCTTATATGAAGTACGTAAAATTTTAGATTTTGCTTATAATATCAAATAAAATACGACAGTAACCGAAAATAATGTGTGATTTTAGTAGTAGATGCAACAGTTCTGTGAGTACTGCTGAATATTTTCTTTTGGTTTGATCTTATAATTTTGTATATGTGACTGTGGATGTCATTATTTTAAGAAAATGAGTTTCAGGATGGGGACAACATTCTTTAACATCGCCATAAATACATATTATTCAATTATCATATTGTACGGTAAGAAGTTAAATTATATGACTAGACAGATATTTCTACAATATCATATCTTAAACACGTAAACATTTGAGTTTTTGCTTATAATATCAATTAAATATGATATAGCCGAATACAAAGAATGATTTCATTTGTAGATGCAAATGTTTTGTTCGTACTGCTGAGTAACATTATTTTGGTTTCCTCATATATTCTTGTGTATGCGACGGCGTATGTCATTACATTAAGAAAATGAGTTTTTGAAGAGGATACAGTCTTTAACATCGCCATAAATATATCATGTGAAATTCTCAAAATATACGGCTTCAAGTCAAAATGTATGGTTAGATAGATATTTGTACTATATCTTATTTAAAACACGTAATCGTCTGAGTTTATTGCTTATAACATAAAATAAAATATGACAGGAACAGAACACAATGAATGATTTTTTTGACGATGCAATCGTTCTTTTGGTACTGCTGAAAACCCTCGTTTTCCTTTGCTCATATATTCTTTTATATGTGACGGAGGATGTCGATATCTTAAGAACATGAGTTTCACGATGGGAAAAACAGTCTATAACATCACCATAAATATATTTTGAGAAATTTCCAGAATGTACATTATCAAGTTTAATTATACATTTAGATAGATATTTGTAGAATGTTTAATTTGAAATACGTAAACATTTGAGTAGTTATTATAATAATAAATAAGATATGAGAGGAAACTAAAACAATGATTGATTTTAGTAGTAGATGCAAAAGATCTGTCCGTAATGCTGAATAACATCCTTTTGGTTTGATCATATAATAATGTATATGTGACTGAGAAAGTCAGTATTTTAAAGACATAAATTTCACGATGGGTACAACAATCTTTAACATAGCCATAAATATATCTTGTGAAATAACGAAATGTTCGCTGTTAAGTTTAATTACATAATTAGATAGATATTTGTACAATATCTTATATTAAATACGAAAACACTTGTGTTTTTTGCTTATTATATCGAATAAAATACTACAGGGACCTATTACAAAGATTGATATAAGTTGTAGATGCAATTGTTCTGTTCTACTGCTGAATAACATCGTTTTTTTGCCCATATATCCTTCTATATGTGACTGAGAATGTATATATTTTAAAAACATTAGTTTAATGATGGGGACAACAGTCTTCAACATCGTCATAAATATATCTCATGAAATTATCAAAATGTACACTTTCAAGTTAAATTATATGATTAGATAAATTTTTGTACAATATCTTATCTTAAAAACGTAAACATTTGCATTTCTTGCTTATAATATCAAATAAAATATGACAGGAACCGAATAACATGGATGATTTTAGTTGCAGGTGCAATCCTATCTTCGTACGACCGAATAACGTCGTTTTGGTTTGCTCATATATTCTTGTATAACTGAGAGAGTAAATCGGTATTTGAAGAACATGAATTTCTCGATGAGGACAAGAGACTTTAACTTCGCCAAAAATATATCTTACGAAACTACCAAAATATATGTTATCAAGTTAAATTACATGATTAAATAGATATTTGTACAATAACTTATCTTGAACACGTAAACATTTGAGATTTATTTATAATATCAAATAAAATATGACAGGAACCGTACACAATGAATGATTTTAGTTGTAAAACAATCGTTCTGTTCGTACTGCTAAAAAATTTTGTTTCGCATTTCTCATATATTCTTGTATATGTGACTGACAATATCAGTATTGTAACGTGTTTTGCGTTACTGATCCCACTTCTGACACCAATGTAACGTGTTTCGCGTTACTGAAGACGCCGTAGAGATCGTTAATTGGTTTATTTAACAATCTACAAATAACGGCTACAATTAATTATCACACAGTTGCGGGGTTTCACACTTGATAACCCTAATCGCATTAATCTGTTAAAACTGTTGCGGGGTTTCACGACTTATAACCCTATGCGCAAATCAGTTCACTCTGTCTTCAGTAGTATACGCGTTTACAGTAGGGGAGCTATGTATCGCTGTATCACACGCTCCCAATTACACAATCACTCACACGTCCGGATCTTCTTTCCGCGACGGCTGCTATACTCCAACTTGTAGTCGGCTNGGGGGGGGCTCGGCTTTGCGCAACTTGTCACAGTATTTTAACAATATGTGTTCAAGATGTGGTTAATAGTTTTTAATATTGCCATATATATGTATATATATATATATCTTGTGAAATTACCAATATATACGGTATCATGTTAAATTAAATTAGTATATTATTATTTGTAAAAATTTCACATTTCAAAACACGTAAACATGTGTGCTTTTTTGCTTAAAATATCAAATTAAGTATGCAGGATCCGAAGATAATGAATGATTTCAGTTTCAGATTAATTCGCTCTTGTCGTACTGCTGAAAAACTTCTTTTGGTTTGCTCATATATTGTTGTATATGTGACTGAGGATGTCAGTGTATTAAGAACATGAGTTTGAAGTGTGGGAAAAGAGTCTTTAACATCGCCATAAATATATTTTTGAAATTATCAAAATGTACGGTATCGAATTAAATTATATAATGAGATAGATATTTTAACAATATCACATATTAATCACGTATACATTTGGGATTTTGTTCATAATATCAAATAAAATATGAGAGGTACCAAATATATTGAATGGTTTTAGTTGTAGATGCAATCGTTCTGTTCATACTGCTAAAAAACTTCGTTTTTTTGCTTATATAATCTTTTTTATGTGAATGAGTACAAGTGTATAAGTATTTTAAGAACATGAGATTCACGATTGGGACAACAGTCTTTAACATCGCCAATAATTAATCTTGTGAAATTATCAAGATATACAAATGTTATCCAGTTAAAATATATAATTAAATAAATATTTGTCCCTTAAATATTTGTGTTTTTTGCTTATAAGATCAAATAAAATATCGAATAAAATAGGACAGGAACCAAGTACAACGAATGATTTAATTGTAGAAGCAATCGTTCTGTTCGTACCGCTGAATAACTTCGTTTTGGTTTGCTCATATATTCTTGTATATGCGACTGACGTCAATATTTAAGAACATGGGTTTCACGATGGGGACAACAGTCTTTAACATCGCCTTAATATACCTTATTAAATTACCAAAATATTCAAGAAAAATGATATGATTAGGAATATAATTTTACAATATTGTGACATGTTGAGCTATGGATGAAGCCCCTACCCCCCTCGCCAGCCGTTATGTGCCGAACGAAGCCGAAGTGAGCCAAAGTTAGCCGAGTCCTAGCATCCTGGTCGCTATGCAAAGCGAGTCAACAGCGATGACGTCACCAAGTGTACCGCGGGTTGCTAGGCAGCGCGGGGAAACAGGATTGCGAGAGACGACGGTAGTAACAGCGGTTACTACCGCTAGCGTTGCTAGCAACACAGCGCCAGGCAACAAGGGTGCTTATTACGTGGCCGTTTTCTGTATTGTCCGATCGAGGCTATATGAGGAGCAGCGAAGGCTATTCAAAGTCAGTCCTGGAGCTACCTACGAGTCAGTCCTCGAGCTACCTCCGAGTTAGTTCCGAGTTAGCCAGCAACCAGTCAGTTGTATTGTGGCATTTGGAGTGTAGTATTTGTGATACTGCAGATAGCAGTAATCGTAAATCTGTAATTTGGGTGATTGTACGTGCGAATGTGAAATAAAATTCGCTATATCAGATACGGCGTGAAGTTATTTGTCGCGTTATACGCCTAATACGCGACAATATATTATATTAAACACGTAAACATTTGCATTTTTTGCTTGTAATATCAAATAAAATATGACAGGAACCGAATACTAGTACAATGAATGATTATATTTGTAGATGCAATCATTGTGTTGGTACTGCTGAAAAACTTCGATTTTATTTGCTCATATGTTCTTGTATATGGGACTGAGAATGTCAGTATTTAAAGAACATGAGTTTCACGATGTGGACAAAATCTTTATCATCTCCATAAATAAATATTGTGAAATAAGCAACTGTACGTTACCAAGTTTAATTATATGATTAGATAAATATATGTACAATATCTCATTTTAAACACGTAACATTTGAGGTTTTTGCTTATAATGTGAAATAAAATATGACAGGCACCGAATACACTGAATGATTTTAGTTGTAGATGCACTCGTTCTGTTTGGACTGCTTAAACAACATCGTTTTGGTTCGCTCAAATATTCTTTCATATGTGACTGAAAATGTCAATATCCTAAAAACCTGAGTTTCACTATGGGGACAACCGTCTTGAATTACGCCATAAATATATCTTTTGTAATTACCAGAATGTACGGTAACAACTTTAATTGTATGTTTAGATAATTATTTGTAAAATTTCTTATCTCGAACACGTAAATTTTTAGTTTCTTCTTATAATATTGTGACATGTTGCGCAACGGAGGACCCCTACCTCCCCAGCGGCACGTGGAGGTAACGTAGCGCTCTCGTTACTACTTTTCGCGCTACTCAGGACACCACTCCCCCCGGCGGCGGTGACGTGCCGAGAGGAGCCGAAGAGAGCCGAGCGGAGCCGAAGCGAGCCGAATCCCAGCGCGCTGGTCTTAAGGCACCGCGGATAAACAGTGGTTGCGATAGACGACCCTAGCAACAGCGAACGGAGTAAAAGCCGGCTGAGCAGCAAGCGAGAGTCAGTGTGTTATCAACATTTCTCCAGTCAGCCGACTACAGTTGAAATATAGCAGCCGTAGCGGAAAGAAGTACCGGACGTGTGTGTAACTGTGTAATTGGGAGTGTGTGAGACAGAGAGACTTGTATAGCTCCCGTACTGTGAATACGTGTAGCCTATTGAAGACTTTGGTTGCACGGTTTGTAAAGTGTGGAAACCCGCAACTGTGTTATAATTAATTGTAGCAGTGATTTGTAGGTTGTTAAATAAACCAATTAACGATCTCTACGGCGTATTCAGTAACGAAACACGTTATAATATCAAATAAAATATTACAGGATCCAGAAACAATGATTAAATTTATTAGTAGATGCAATAGTTCTGTGCGTACTGCTGAATAACTTCGTTTTGGTTTGATCTTATAATATTGTAAATGTGGCTGAGCATGTCAGTAATTTAAGTACATGAGTTTCAGGATTGGGACAACATTCTTTAACATCGCAATAATCTTGTGAAATTACCAAAATCTACGGTTTCAAGTTAATTATATTATTAAATAGATATTTGTATATTATCCGACCTTAAACACGTGAACTTTTTAATTTTTATTTATAATATCAAATAAAATATTACAGATTATATTACAGATCATGAGTTTCACGATGGGGACAACAGTCTTTAATATCGCCATAAATATATCTTGTGAAATTATCATATTATACGGTATCAAGGTAAAATATGATAGATAGATATTTCTACAATATCATATCTTAAACACGTAAACATTTAAGATTTTTCCTTATAATATTGTAATGTGTTTCGTTACTGAATACGCCGTAGAGATCGTTAATTCGTTTATTCAACAATCTACGAGAAACGGCTACAATTAATTTTCACACAGTTGCGGGGTTTCACACTTGATAACCCTAATCGCAATAATCTGTTACCACTGTTGCGGGGTTTCACACTTTATAACCCTATGCACAAATCAGCTCACTCTGTGTTCAGTAGTCTACACGTTTACAGTAGGGGAGCTATGTATCACTGTGTCACACGCTCCTAATTACACAATTACACACACGTCCGGTACTTCTTTCCGCGACGGCTGCTATACTCCAACTTGTCTCGGCGACTGTTACTTTATAACTCGGCGGCTGTCGCAGTACAACTCACTGGTAGCTGCTGTGCGGTTCCCTTATATATCCGCAGTGGTGACTGTTGCGGGCCACGTCACAGTAGGAAGCGATTCCGCGTTACCGTGGCGTTACCGCGCGTGGCGCTTTGCATAGCTACCAGGATGCGGGGGCTCGGCTAATATTCGGCTCCGCTCGGCTCACTTCGGCTCCGCTCGTGACGTCACCGCGGGGAGAGTGTAGGGGTGATGATTCGCCTATTACGCGAGAACTACGTGCCGCTGGGGAGGTAGGGGTCAACATGTCACACTGCTCTCTCCTTAAAGCTGTTCGTCCCGAATTGCCTAATGGTGCACCCCGTTCCTTTTCTTTGGAGGCTGATCTATTGCGTTTCCTTGTATCTGGGCTACTCCTTGCAACGATTGTTCTCCGGCTGTTACAACCGCCCCCCTCTTAAGACCTGCTCGTCTCGAGCGGTTTCCTTTCAGCTCGCCAGAAGATCCAGTTGTGTCCCATTCATCCATTACTTTCACTCTATGCCACATTCTTCTGCATTACCGGTTCCTCCTCTGCTTGAAGTCTTCTTTTCCGTTTTGGAGGCGGTCGACACTTCCACAGTGTCCAATCTTTATTTCTGTTTTCCATGAGAAGTTCCGTATGTTGACGTAACAGCCCTTGATGCGTTGTTTGCACTGACTGACGTCGTTCCTCCTGGTCTTCCCGCCACTTGCTGGCATAAGACCGTGGCGCCAAGTCCTCTGTCCGGCATCGGAAGGTTCCCTGGGGTGTTTCCTTCTTGAAGTCATTTCTCCAACGTCGTGCCACTGTCGCGCGACGGGATATCTTCCTGCAGATGGCAGGGAACTTTATCCGGGACGCATGATCTGCTCGGGTACAAGATTTCCTGAAGATGTTCCTCTTGCGCCATGCCACTCTTGCACGGCGGGACACCCTCCTGCTGACGACGGCCAACTTATTCTGGGGTCCACAACTTTCCTGTGTCGAATTCTTCATATTTCGTCGCTTTCGGTCACTACGCCTTTTTTCTTCGGTTCTCCGACCGGCATTACTTCGGCGTCTTGTATGGGTACCTCTCGTAGTTCTGCCGCCTCAGGTTTCCTATTCGCTGAAGTCGGCTCTTCTTCTTCTGGACGCGCCTCCCTGTTTGGCAGGCCATCGTCATTCCGACCGGTATCACTATGGGGACCTCCTCCTGTTGTGCCGCCGCAGGTCTCATGTCCACTGAGGCCGGCTTTCCTTCTTGTAGACGTGCCTCGATCTCTTGGCAGGCCGCCATCTCATTGTGGTTGGCATTCACCCTTTTGACGGTGAGGGTGTAGTGCGGGACCCTTAATGAATTTGCTGGCGTTCGAACTTCTTCGCCGGCCGTCGCTCGTTTCCCGACAGTTGGGTACTCTTCCTGTTCGTAGGGGCAGTTATTCGCGAAGTGGCCCAGTTTTCCACAACTCCAGCACCCTGATTGTCTTCCGTATCCGCGATTGGTGGGTGACGATTGGTATTTCCGGTATGTCTTGGTGCCACCTTCGTGAGGTCTAGCTGCTATCAGTACCGCTTGCAGCTCTAGCGCTCGTCGGAGGGCCTCGTTTACCTTCTTCTCACCTCCTAGCAGCAGCTGGAACATTATATCGGCATCTTGTATTCCGTATACGAAGGCTATTCCTGCCTCTCTTCCTATGTGGTCTGCAGATAGATATGCGTAGGCACGCTGGGAAAGCAGTTTAATGGCCGTGGCAAAGTCTTGCAGGGATTCTCCAGGTTTCTGGGTCCTTGTTCTTAATTGGCAGCGGTAGGCAGCTGCAAAGTGTTGGTCCCCAAAACGGTCTTCTAGAGCCTGAAGAGTTTCCTCGTAAGTGGCATTTGCCGAAATGCCGGGTAGCATTTCTGCCGCCCGGCCCTTCAGAGCGGTGATCAGGTGTGTTAATTTTTCCCTGTCGGACCATTGGTTGTGTTCTGCTACGGTCTCGAATTGTCGCCGGAACACGCTCCGTGTTGAATTTCCGTTCAATGTCGGTGGCTGAGCTGTACTCGCGACGATCGTTGCTGTATTTCCCCGATCGGCCTTCATTTGCACTATGTCCAACCGGGTCTGGAATTCGCGTTTGGTTTCGTCAATTGCTGCTCAGGTTTCATTGAAGTTTTTCGTCAGGTTTTCCTGGAGCTTATCTGTCCTTGCGCAGAGGCACACTTCCACTGACTGCAGTTCCCTTTGTGTTTTTCCAGTTCTTTCTGTAAGCTCCTGAAGCCTTTCGTCCGTCCTGGCTTGGTTGACGTCCATCATCTGTTTCAGTTCTCTTCAGTCTGTCTGTCTGACATCCTCCGATCAGGCCAGTAATTCGTTGAGGCCCATCTCCGCTTTTTCTTGGTTTGCCCTAATCTCTTTCAGCATTGCTTCCTTCTATGCCTTCCTTTCTTCCTTCTCTTTCCTTATACTTTCTTACATTTCTTCTTTGTCAACTTTTAACCCTTTCAGCATTTCCATTATTCTTTGCAACTCTTGTTTCTCCATTTTGTAGCAGTAAAATATTCGATGCACAATAATTCAATTTGTAGCGTGTTTAAGTTCGTAACACTTCTGACACCAGTGTAAATTGTTTCGAGTTCAAAGCTCGTTGGTCACGTGTGTAAGCCCAAATCCCACTTCTGACACCAGTGTAACGTTGTTCGAGTTCGCGGATATCTTCGCACAAGACAACGAAGATTATGGAAGGACAAACAGGGTATATCACCACATAGACACGGGAGAAGCCCGACCAATTCGGCAGCCAACAAGGAGAGTAACTCTGGCAAAACAAGTAGAAGTGAAGGAAATGCTTGACAACATGCGAGGACAGGGGGTTATAGAAGAATCGGACAGCCCTTGGTCATCCCCGGTCGTTCTGGTCAGGAAAAAGAATGGGGAGCTCCTTTTCTGTGTGAACTACAGGAAGCTAAACGACGTCACCAAGAAGGATTGCTTTCCGCTACCCCGCATTGACGACACCCTGGACACGCTGGCCGGAGCCAAATGGTTTTCAACTCTCGATTTAAAGAGTGGCTATTGGCAAGTCGACGTAAACCCAGACGACAAAGAGAAAACAACGTTTTCAAAAGGGCAAGGGTTATGGCAGTTCACAGTCATGCCCTTTGGCCTCTGTAATGCACCGGCAAACTTCGAAAGGTTAATGGAAACAGTCCTACGAGGGCTCACGTACGATTCATGCCTTGTGTATTTGGATGACGTAATCGTAATAGGCCGCACATTCCGGGAGCATATGCTCAAATTACGGAAAGTGTTCGAGAGGTTCCGGGAAGCCCGTCTGAAACTTAACCCGGAAAATTGTCAACTCTTGCAGGAAGAGGTCAGGTACCTCGGGCACATTGTGTCACCAGAAGGGGTATCCACCGACCCGGAGAAGTTGAAAGCCGTGCGAGAATGGCCGACCCCGAAGGCTAAACATGAAGTTAGAAGCTTTCTGGGACTATGCGCGTATTACAGGCGGTTTATTTCAGGGTTTTCCAATATTGCGAAACCACTAACGAAACTAACGAAAGAGAAACGAACCTTCCAGTGGACTCCAGAAGTGGAGGCCGCTTTTCAAACGCTAAAGGGTGCCCTATGTGCTGCCCCTATTCTTGCCTACCCACAGCCAGGAGAGAAATTCATTGTGGACACAGATGCAAGTAATATCGGAATTGGAGGAGTTCTCTCTCAAGTACAGGACGGACAAGAGCGTGTCATAGCTTATTTCAGTAAAACGCTGAACAAAGCAGAGGGAAACTACTGTGTAACCCGTCGAGAACTACTTGCCATAATGAGGACACTGGAACATTTCCACAAGTACCTCTACGGACAACAGTTCCATCTGCGAACGAACCACTCTGTGCTTACCTGGCTTATGAGTTTCAAGAACTTAGAGGAACAAACAGCGCTCTGGATACAGCGTCTACAGGTGTACGACTTCACTTCGGAGCATCGTCAGGACCGAAAACATAAGGCCGACGCCCTTTCTAGACGACCCTGCCAAGAGCAATGTGCGCACTGCCACAAAGTTGAGACGCGGGCAGAGGTAAAGCAGATACGCGTTATTGGAACCCTACGGGCAGCCGGCTGGGACCCTGTTACCCTAAGAGAGTAAAAGCTAAATGACCTGGACATAGGACCTATTCTACAGGAAGTAGAAAACGGCCAACGACCGGAATGGCAGGACATCGCGGATCGGAGTCCCATGTACAAAAGCTACTGGGCCCAGTGGAAATCGCTCGCTGTGAGAAACGGCGTATTAGAGCGTGAATGGGAATCCGTCATGGGAAGGCGTCAAGTAGCCCAGGTAATTATTCCTCGGAGCAGGGTGAAGGATGTTCTGAGCGAACTGCACGGTGGACCGTCAGGAGGTCACTTCGGTGTAAACAAAATTCTGAATAAAGTTCGACAGATATTCTACTGGCTCCAAGCAAGGACCGATGTTGAGAAATAGTGTCGACAGTGTGAACATGTGCAGCCAGTCGGGGACCGCGGACCCAGAATCGTGTGCAAATGCACAGGTATAACGTTGGGGCTCCATTCGAGAGAGTAGCCATTGATATCGCAGGGCTCTTCCCACGAAGCGACCAAGGAAACCGGTACTTACTGATCGCGAGGGACTACTTCACCAAATGGCCGGAAGTGTACGCCATCCCGAATCAGGAGGCTTCAACAATAGCGGAAGTTCTGGTCGCCTACTTCTTCTGCCGCTTCGGCATACCTCGGGAGTTGCACAGCGACCAAGGCCGTAACTTCGAGTCTCATTTATTGAAAGAAGTTTTGCAACGCCTGGGAGTGAGCAAGACGCGCACCACACTCCTGCACCCACAGTCGGATGGCATGGTGGAACGCTACGTCAAGACCATCGAGGTGCACTTGCGGAAGGTCGTCTCATCGCACCAAATGGACTGGGATTAGAGGGTACCCCTCTTTCTCCTAGCTTACAGGGCATCCACTCACGACACTACGGGCCTGACGCCTGCTGGTCTAGTGTTCGGACGAGAACTACGGCTACCCTGCGACCTGCTGTTTGGAGTACCCCCTGACAAAGAAGAACCCACAACCGATTATGCAGCCGAATTAGTGGATCATCTGAAGGACATCCACAATTATGCCCGGCAACACCTGAAGCTTGCCAGTGACCGGATGAAAACTCGGTACGATAAACTGGCCAACTCCGCAGGTTACGACGAAGGCGACCGAGTCTGTCTCTATCACCCAACCCGCAGAAAGGGGAAATCGCCGAAACTACAAGCATCATGGGAGGGTCCTTACAAAGTAGTGACCCGAATAAATGATGTGGTTTACCGAATCCAGAAGACTCCTAGATCGAGGATGTTGGTTGTACACCTCGACCGGCTTGCGCCTTATCATGGAGCTGCTCGAGACGAGCAACTATAAAAAGGGGGAAGATGTGGCGGTTGGAGAGCAGAGCAACAGGGAGAAGAGTAACAGTAGAAGGACACAAAGAAAAAGCTGCAAGAAGAGCTTCCTAAGAAAAGGAACGGGGGATGTACGGTTAGGCTATTCGGGACGAACAGCCTTAAGGCGGGAGCAGTGTGACATGTTGATCCCTACCTCCCCAGCTGCACGTAGCGGTAGCGTAGCGCTCGCGTAATAGGCAAATAATCACCCCGCATCCTGGTAGCTATGCAACGAGCAACGCGCGGTGACGTCACGAGCGAAGCCGAAGTGAGCCGAGCGGAGCCGACGTTAGCCGAGTCCCCGCGACCTTGAAGATATGCAAAG